AAAAAGAAAAAACAAAATCAGTTTTGAAAGTTTAGCTAGGTAACTTCTAACATACATGCTTCTGTTTTTCTTTCTGAAACAGATCATAACTCTCTGCAATTGCAAAGAAGATGTCAGGAAAAAGGTTCATGCAGTTATTGATAAGTTTGCTGAACGTGGACTTCGATCTTTAGCAGTTGCAAGACAGGTAAGCAAATTAAACTTAGCTTGCTTCATTTTGATGAATGAGTAAACTCGGGGTAAAATCATATTATATCTATTTGAATAGGAAGTACCCGAGAAATCAAAAGATGCTCCTGGGGACCATGGCAGTTTATTGGTTTGTTGCCACTGTTTGATCCTCCAAGGCATGATAGTGCAGAAACCATCAGAAGAGCCCTAAACCTTGGGTGAATGTTAAGATGATTACTGGTAAGAGGTCTTTGAACATTATTTTAATATTTTATGATGTCTATAATTTCATGTGTAAATTCTATATTGAGATTTTCCAATTATACCCAGGGGATCAGCTTGCAATTGCCAAAGAAACTGGTAGGAGGCTTGGAATGGGAACAAACATGTACCCCTCCTCTTCCTTGCTGGGCGGAGACAAGGATTCTTCAATTGCTGCTCTCCCTGTAGATGAATTGATTGAGAAGGCTGATGGATTTGCAGGAGTATTTCCTGGTGTGTTTTACTCGTACGATGTATCCAAATCTGCGATATTCTAGAAAATATAAATTGCTGATAATCAAGACGATATGTTTGCAGCAGCTATAGTTTTTCTCTCTTTATTTTTTTTAAATAGTTATCATGCACATTATCCAGGGGACTTGATATTTTTAGGTCGTTTTTCATAGTGTAATAAATTTCTTTGCTATAGGGTCCTCTACTCTAGGTTCTCTTTTCCCCCCTAACAAATCCTTTTTATGTCAACGACAGAGCACAAATATGAAATTGTAAAGAGGCTACAAGAGAGGAAACATATTTGTGGCATGACAGGAGATGGTGTCAACGATGCCCCTGCTTTAAAGAAGGCAGACATTGGAATTGCTGTTGCTGATGCTACAGATGCTGCTCGAAGGCTTCAGACATTGTACTCACTGAACCTGGGCTAAGTGTCATCATCAGTGCAGTGCTGACCAGTAGGGCTTTTCCAAAGGATGAAGAACTACACGGTTAGTCATATTTAGCTTACTTTTGTTTGCATCTTTACGGTCCTTGTTCCACAGTGTTAAGTGTTTGTAATCTTTTGCCTGATTCTATTTGACTCTGCAGATCTATGCAGTTTCAATCACCATTCGTATTGTGGTAAGTCTTTAAAGAGCCGTTAAGACTTGAACACTAAGTCACTAATAATTCTATATAGTTTTACATATGGATATTTAAATATAATTTTCATTTTGGCAGTTTGGCTTCATGTTATCGCCTTGATATGGAAGTTTGACTTTGCACCCTTCATGGTTTTAATTATCGCCATCCTAACGACGGTAAGATGCTACCTTTATCAGATTGTTACATCAATATTGATGTATCCCTTAAATTACGTCCTCTATTACTCCTCCGCATATTTTCATTGTCACTCTTTTGCATGAGGAGTTTAAGGTCTACAGATTTTTTCTAAAATATTCCAAAACTCATTTGGACATAATTCCGTTATTATCTTCATTTGACTACAGTCTCTTAACATGACCTTGTCAACCTCATAATTAGTTAAATTTATTATCCGACCACTGGATCTACCATCTATCAATCCATCAACAGTCATCAGTTTTAACTGACACCAATCACCTTACTCGCACAAACAAGACTGAAAGACAGGATCTTTAATCCTGCACCCACCGTTCATCCTCTTATACAATCTTTTCTTTCGTTTTTCTCTTGACCACTATCAACTGCGACTTTCTATCTAATCCAGGAAGATAAATTGTCTAAGGCCATCACCTTCCTGACCACTAATAAATATTATATGTTCAATTATGTTTGATGAATCTAATCTAATTCATCATCACATCAATAGGCACAATCATGACAATTTCCAAGGACAGAGTAAAACCGTCTCCGTTGCCAGACAGCTGGAAACTCAAGGAGATTTTCTCGACCGGCATTGTGCTTGGAGGTTACTTAGCACTAATGACTGTGGTATCTTCTGGGCAATGAAAGACACCGATTTCTTCTCAGTAAGGACAGCTATGCTCATGTTCCAGTTTTTTGTTTTATTTTGTGGGATTTGGTATGGTTTTGCTAAGCTCCCATTCCTATTTTTCAGAACATGTTTAATGTTAGACCACTAAGGGATAATCCTGAAGAAATGATGGCAGCTTTATACCTTCAAGTTAGTATCGTGAGTCAGGCCCTCATTTTTGTCACACGGTCACGCAGCTGGTCCTATGTTGAACGTCCTGGACTTTTACTTCTCACTGCTTTTGTTCTTGCTCAGCTGGTAAGAAAATTTAACTCTTTTATTTCCTTGGTAAGATTTTAGCATAGCAGGTGCACAGATTCAGCACATTTTACCCAAGTAAAAAAAAAATGAAGCTTAGCCACCAAATGAATTTGTTGTTGGCAGGTGGCCACTGCGATAGCTGTGTATGCAAATTGGGGTTTCGCAAGGATTCAAGGAATGGGTTGGGGATGGGCTGGTGTGATATGGCTTTACAGTGTGGTGACTTATATCCCACTTGATCTCATCAAATTTGCAATCCGATATGTTCTTAGTGGAAAGGCTTGGGATAACCTTTTGGAGAACAAGGTATATATATATATATATATATATAATATATATTGGATTCATTCTTTTGTATTTGCAATTCCAACCTGTTGTTGCTCATGAATTTCTTCCAACTTCTTCCTCCCCCAATGATAGACTGCGTTCACTACAAAGAAAGATTATGGAAAAGAGGAAAGAGAAGCTCAATGGGCAGCTGCGCAGAGAACTCTGCATGGCCTTCAACCACCTGAAACCTCAGGCTCTTCAATGAAAAGAGTGGTTACAGAGAACTTTCGGAGATTGCTGAGCAGGCCAAGCGCAGGGCAGAGGTTGCAAGGTGAGACCCATGCATACATATTAATAAAGATGTTCCTTTTTTTTTTCATGATTATGATATTTATTTAATGGAATTGTGTAGGCTGAGGGAGCTGAATACACTGAAGGGGCACGTTGAATCAGTGGTAAGCTGAAGGGACTTGATATCGATACCATTCAGCAGCATTATACAGTTTGAAGTGCCAAGAGAGTTGTTTGGAATATTCTCGTTATGATGACGAGGAACAAGTGAGGATGATTATTATTATTATATTATTATTATAGTAGTAGTAGTGGTAATGGAGATCTATAGGATCATATTTTTTCCTAAATGTTCGGAATATTATCACATTCCATTGTTACTCTCTTTTTCAATGCCACAGAGGGAAACTCCTCTTTTTAACAGCATAATCTGAAATTTTAAGAAATGAACATGTAGACTTAAAAATCAACCATTTGATTTTGGGGAATGTTCCTGTATATTAACTAAACAATGGAAAACCAACATACCCAATGATTCAAGTATATATTCATGTAATGCCATCCTATACAACCCATACAACTGTTGTACACCACGCATACTGGAAGGAAGTAAGCGAAGTGAAGCACTAACTAGGGCTCCCAACCTGAAATTTGCAGCGGGGCTTGTGGTAGATTCAACACAATCTCCGCGTATGCTGATGATACAAAAAGAAACAAGAAATCAACCAAATGTAAGTGGAAAAACTCAAAGAAAATCATATCACATATTACTTACCCACTCGCAACAAAGCAGAGAAAGTAGTAAGTGGTTTTCTAAGGCAATGATTCCATCTCATGAAGAATTGCTTCAAACTTGAATCCAATATAAATTCAGCAGCAAATGATATTTCACAACATCAATTACCAGGAACTTCTTCAACTGGAGATGGGAAAAGAAAAGGTAATACCTTCTGGTAAGCTCAAGGTTCTCGAAGCATCTTCTGCATAAGATAAACGAGCTGGAATAGGTTGGGAGCCCATTGCTCCAGCTGAGCTTGCATGATTCTTCTTAAATTGATGCATTGGCCATGCTAGAACTTTTACTCGAGTTGGAAGAACAGAAACAAGATCTGGATATCTAAGACCGAATGTCACCTTGCTGCAACAAATGTAGACATAACAGTCCTGTCGACAGCCAAGCAAAACTAACTACTTACAATATTTCCTGTTTAAGATAGTTATCGAACCTTATAGTGAAGACTATTCTATAAGAAACAGTTATTCCATTCCCATTTCCAAATAGTATAAAATTAAGAAAGACTGAAGCATCCATATTCAGGCAAACACATAATTCAGAAACCAAAATATCCAAAGATACAACTAAACCATGTAAATATACAGAAAGTACAGACACTAGAAAGTATAAAGCCGACCAACCAATCAGAATCATCGAGTGCAAATTCAATCATGTGGTACGGAAGACTATATAGCTCTCCTATTTGATTTCTGTACAGCTCCTTGACAAGCCGAACCTGTCATGGGACCAAGTAAGTGCTTCAAGAAACAAAATATCACCTAAACATGTGAACTACTGATTTGGGATATAAAATGTTACAAATTCATATTGAGCGACATGACAGCATTACCTGTTCACATCTGTCCACATAAGCCTGCAATAATTCTCCAGTATGATCTATAAATACCATCATCTTAAAATAAAAACTAGATATGCAACGAAGTTACCATGGCATTAGAAGAAAGATCATTTTCTAGTTACCATGGCATTAGAAGAAAGAAGATCATTTTCTACTTCTCGTAGTAGCAGAAAGAAAGGATATTGAATGTTCAATGACAGTTATCTTTTCAAGAAATGACGTGCTCTCTAGCACACAGTGGTAAAGTTCACAAGGTTCCCCAACCAAAATTACAGAAACAAGAATTGCAAGAATAACCCTTGTCACATATATGAAGGACAATTCATTTTCTTACTCAACTTCTCTAAAAAAATTACATCTTTAAATCAAAAACCACAGTATATGCCTTAGCTTGAGGTAATAACTTTTTACATACAATAAGCCAAATAAATAATTAACTGCAGATACTAATAATCAAATTATAAAAACTTCTTCAGTAGCATCTGCAAAAGACGTCTCATACAATATGCATATTCTTGTCCCTTCCAAACAACAAATCACCTGTCCACTTATAAGTTTGAGCTCCCTGGAAATGACTTCACAGATACAACAATAACAAAGCACATACATAAAAGAGTTGTTGCAATATTGATCACCTAAAGCAAAACCTACTGATAATTACACACACTTTCTGAAACTGACTTGCTTAACTATAATTAAAGAAAAACTCTTTTCTTTTTCCAACTCCAAATTAAAAGCACTTCCCCTTAAAATTTAAATCCTATCCCAGATTCCCAGCAACTGTTAGAAAGCTGCCCCAGCTTCCCTCATCTTTGATTTGATTAAACTTTGATTATATAAATTTCAATCACATTCTTCCAAATCAAGTTTTTATGAGGACAAATTTAATATCAGTTATAATCCAGGATTATATATAATGAAAATTGCAAAAAGTATTCTCTACATATTTTGTTACCTTGTTTCCGACTCTGTAAGTAACCTTTTCTTGGAAATGAGATGTTGGAATGTTGTTTGTGTCTCCAGATGTGGCCTTTCTATCAGCCTCCATATGAACCTGATAAAAAATCAGATAAGTTTGCATCTAGATACTTTTATCAAATGGGGAATAGAGAAATCATCATTAACAGAGAGTAATTTAAAGCAAGAACATCAGTCAACATCAATATAACTCCAACATCATCAAATCCCGACTTGAACAGTAAAATAGAATCACAAAAAATTGTTTTGAAGCATTCAGAATGGAAAAAATGCGATACCTGCTCTCTTATTGTAGCTAATAGCCCGTCATTCCACTGTTCACCATCTAAATTAATCTCTGAAAATCAGAAAGGGGGAAGGAAATTTCTTGTCAGAGCTTAAAAATCATGAATTATGCATATATTCACCTTGACTTTGAGAAGCTCTTGCAGCTTCAAATTCTTTTTGTAGACGCTCAAATATCATCTTTTCAGAATCCCTAGCAAATCATGACCACTTGGAGCATTAATCCTCAAAGAAAAAAAGTCAAAGAATACGAGCATGTTCATCAGCTCTCTACTTCCTACTCTAGGTTTATAAAACCAACAAGAAATCAGCTGCCTTATCCAGGTATGTATACGCTATCAACGCTATCATTTTTGTGTAATCTTATGTCTACAGACAGAATTACTAAAGGAAAAGAAAGAAAGATATATTAGTTACATTACATCTTTCTCGTGTAGTCTCCAACCGAATATCTTCCTCTTGCAAGAAGTTGTGTACCAATTACATAGTGAGATATTGCCCACGTCAACAATTTATACAATTCATAGCTAAATATAAATAAATATATATTTGTTCATATATTTTTAGATATAAATATCTCAATCAATTGTATTACAAAATCTTTATTAAGTAATTTTATATCTAAAAACTAAGACTTAATCGATATAAAAAAGAGAGAAAAAAAGAATAAACCCTAAAAAATCTTAAAATATTTATTTATTTTTAAAATTACTTATCATATATATATATAATATATATATATATATAATATTTATATATAAATATATCTCAATCAATTATGTACATATAAATATCGATTAAGTCTTAGTTTTTATATAAATATATCTCAATCAATTATGAACAATCTTAATAAATTGTTGACGTGGGGCAATATCTCAATCAATATATATTTTTATATATAAATATATCTCAATCAATTGTATTACAAAACATATAAATCAAAACTAAGACTTAATCGATTTTTATATGTACATAATTGATTGAGATATTTATATATAAAAATATATATTATATACATATATGATAAGTAATTTTAAAAATAAATAAATAAATATTTTTAAGATTTTTTAGGTTTGTTCTTTTTTTCTCTCTTTTTTAATAGTCGTTGTTAGTTTTTCTTTTTTTTATTTTTATAATCGACGACGACATCAGTTTTTGTATTAGTTGTCGACCATCGGTATTTTTTTTTATTATAGTGTATCTTTGTTTTTTCTTTTTTTCTTTTTAATAATTCTGACTTTTTGACATTTATTTTTCTGCCTTTATGACATGTTTTTCTCTGTCTCTATGACATGTTTTCGGTTGTTTTACCTTTGTTTTCGTTTTTTTTTCAGAGTTTGATTTAACATCGCCACGACTTATTAAGTTGGTGTTTATTTGTTATCATGATGATCTTCCTTACTTTAGACTCTCAGATTGAATTTATATATACAATTTGCGTTCATGGATATTATTTTCACATTACTTGATTATGATTTGCAGTATATCGGTGGTCTTTCAATATCTTTATTTTCTTTTGTGGTTCGTTCACCAATGTATTCAGATCTATTCATATTTATCTCTTATTCGAGTATAAGAGTTTATTTGATTAGGTTTTATTCCTTGTGTGATTTTAAGTGTTAGTTTTCTTGTGTTTAGAAAAATATTCTTATTATATATTTAGTTACATTTATAGCTGTAAACCTTCATTTTAATTTGAATATTTTCTATTTTCAATAAAATTAATGGTTTCTATCAAATAAATAATAAATAGATATAAGTATGATATCATGTATGTTCTTTATCAGTATCCCTATATTCAGGTACTTGAAGTATGTATATATAATTTTTCGGATACTAAAATATTTTATTTATGTCCCGAACTATTGGACTCGGATGCATGTATTTTCGGATTATAAATATCCAATTTATGTATTTTCGGATTATAAATATCCAATTTATATTTATTTTATTTTTTCTTTAAATTACATTACTTTTAGAAATATTATCATATAAAAGACATGAAACTTAAAAAATCACAATATAGAATTTAAATATCTAAATTACATAATTCAAAAGTAACTTTTTTTAAGAAATATAAAATTTAAATTTATTTGAGGATAAAAAAATAATTTAAGATGCTAGAATGAAACAATCTTTTAAATTAGAGATTTTAAATATTAGAGTGAAATAATTTAAAGATCGAAAATGAAATTTTAATATAAAATAAAAATAGATAATAAGATAATCGACCACCCGACAAATCAAAAGTCGTGATCCATGATCCGTAACACATTAAAAACTACTATTTAAATAATTAACCTAAGAGTTCAAATATTTTTAAATAAAAGTATTTGATAAATTTTATTAGGTTCAACGGACCATATAGGTAGAAATAATTGTAATTATATGTAGTAAGAGAAAAATAAAAATGAAATAAATAAAAGAGAAACTAAAATAGCAGCAGCGAGAGATGGAGCTAACCAAAAAGAAAGCCGAGCTGAAAATATAATGAGCATTGGCATTAGCACGACAAGGAGAGAACGGGAAGGAGAAAACTGAAAAAGAAAATGGACTCTAAATATACAGATTATTGTATATTGGAGTAATATTTATAAAAAAAAAAAAAGAAGAAGAAAGAAGGAAATAATTAAAAAAAATCGAAAGAGGGAGCCAAAAAGAAATCAATAGAGGCTGCTAACAATCCAACCCCGACACCAACCAACAACTGTTGTGGCGCTGGATTTCTCTGCAATTGCTGAAGCAACTTGCCTAAGGTCAGCCTTCTTATCAATCCTTTTAAGCTTCTCTTTCGTTACTCCTTGCTTATTTTGTCTCTGCAATTCCAGCTCCCTTCCTCAACTCTTACCCTACCCAACTCCACTGATCTCTTTCCCTCGACTTCAATTTCCTAATTCCCAACCTTTTCCCTTTTTCAGTTGCCGGTAAAAGCCATACCTTCGTGGTTTCAATTGCTGCACTGTTTCCTTTGTTTTTATTTGCTGTTCCAACTCTAGGGTTTTCATTTGTGCTTTGCGTTTATTCAATTCGGCTTTGTGTTTTGTGGGGGGGTTCTGTTTATTACTTAAGTGGAGTTTGATCCCTAGGGTTTTGATTCTGCCTAGATGAAATTTGGGTTTGCATTGTATGAACGGTTCCCCTGTGGAGTTTGTTTTTCTTTCTTTCTCTGGGATTTCATGCTTGCTCTTTTTCTCTCAATATGCAGAGATTAAGAGTTCGGTTTGCATTATATAGCATGCAAATCGGTGGATTCGGATTCATTTGGCATCTGAGAAAATTGTAAATTGGGGTGGAAACAGGTCTCGGTGGATTTATAGTTCTGTGAATCGTGTAGAAATCTGCTTATTGAGCAATGCAACCACAGCAGGGCTCCAGAATCAATTTAGGCGAATTAAAAGCTCAGATAGTGAAGAAGATTGGGGCTGAGAGGTCAAAAAGGTATTTTTATAATTTGAGTAGGTTTTTGAGCCAGAAGCTTAGTAAAAGTGAGTTCGATAAGTCATGTTACCGCATTCTGGGAAGGGAAAATCTGCCACTGCATAACCAGTTGATACGTTCAATATTGAAAAATGCATGTCAGGCTAAGACTCCACACCAGTTCATGAAGTAGGTCCCTAATCTTCGATACGAAATGTGAAAAGTTGCTGGTAGAGATGATGGGCATGAGCCAATTGGATCCCTTGTACCCAACCTGAATCCAAACATGGCTATTTCTTCAAATGGGGTTTTGTCATTGTCATCCCTGCGAAAGGTTAGATCTGGAATACAGGATAGAAAGCTCAGGGATCGACCCAGCCCGTTGGGGCCAAATGGAAAAGTTGAGAGTTTCTCACATCAATCCATGGGTACTGAAGACAATGGCAATAAATTGGGTCTAGAAAATGGGGATTTGACGTCATATGACTATCAGAGACCATTGCAGCATCCTCAAACAGTTGCCGAGCAGCCTGAAATTGAAAGAGAAGGTTTGGGGGGTTCCACAGGAAAACCAAGGGTGCTTATCAAAGGTCTAACTGAAGGAGCTGTTGTTGAAGATGGGGAGGGGGTGGAGCAAGCCAGCCACATTGATTTCTCTAGAAATCCTTTGCTTGCACCTCTTGGGATTCCATTTTGCTCAGCTAGTGTTGGTGGGGCCCACAAAGCTATGCATGTGGCAAGCATTGGCGAGTTCATTAGTTACTATGACAGTGGTAGTTTGTATGATACTGAGACATTGAAGAAACGTATGGAACAGATCGCAGCAGCGCAGGGCCTTGGAGGGGTTTCATTGGAATGTGCTAATATGTTGAACAACATGTTGGATGTATACTTGAAAAGACTGATTAGATCATGTGTCAATCTGGTGGGATCAAGATCTACATGTGAATTGAGACAGCACTCTGCCCACACGCAGCAGCCCCAAAGCAAGCTTGTTAATGGTTTTTGGTCAAGTAGTCACATGCGTATGAAGAGTAGCTCTGGGCCTACAGAAGTTTTGCAGGAAAAGCGGCAAGGGTGCTCAATTTCTTTGCTTGATTTCAAAGTTGCAATGGAGCTAAATCCCCAGCAGCTGGGTGAAGATTGGTCATTGCTTCTGGAAAAAATCTGTATGCTTTCGTTTGAAGAATGAACTCCCAACAAAAAATGCTTATCATGAAGCTGTTATAAAGATATGTTCATCCTGGTTCAATGTGCTTGACTAATGTTGAAGCTTCCAGTTTGTTTACATTTACTGACATGAACCAGATTGTTCCCAGTCAGATAAAGCTATGGCCCTTGCAAGATTAAATTCTGGGTGTGAGTGTTGGGATGCCTCATGCCTATACCTTGCCGCAGAGCTGGGACGGATCAGATTATTATTTTTGAGCAACTGAGCTGAAGTGCTAAAAAAGGAAGAACTTACAACTCGTTGCTCTGTTGTACAATTAGCATTGTTGTTGGTTGTCTTCTACAGATCTCAATCGTTTCTTGTAATTTACAGCCATTGAGGAGGAAATCTGAGAAAGTTTTGCAGAGACACTGCCTTGTAACTTGGTGAAAGGTAAATTTATTTTTGAAAGAGCTGCAGCATTGCTCTATATGTAATCTAGAATCCGAGAATAGATTGAGTTTCAATATTAATAAGTCGACATCCATTAAATTGTCCGTGTGGTTTATATTATGATTTTCTGCCGATGACCACTGAAAAATGTATTTGCGAGGCTTTGATTCGATGTTTTTGTGGATTTATGATTTGCTAATTGTAATTGTCATTTAAAATATTTGGTGGCATACAGTTTTCCGTAGTGCTCAAGCTACTGTTCTTATTTTGTTGATTGAATATCAATGCTTGTGAAGATCAGTGTAATTTGTTACGTTGTATGTACGGGAAACATAAGCAGTGGCATGAAGAACAAGAAATCTTGCGCATTTTTTTTATTAAAACTATCTGTCCTGGAACCATGTTATTCCCCGGCCATAAAACTGAGATTCTCTATTATATAATATTGCTTTGATGGAGAGATTTTTTTTTTCAGGTTTTGGTACCTTAGTTGATCGTTCAACATTGACCAATCAATGCCGTCAACGTCCTAATTGATTATTCAAGTGCCACTTTGAGAAAATTTACCAACTTGATGAACCAATTAAGTTTCAATCATGCACACCAATCACATAAGAGATCCTGTATCGCTGTTTATCAAACTTTCACATTACCGGAAAATTACAATTACATATACTGTCTTGAAAGAGCCACAAATGTCCAAAATATTTTGTTTTACTAGCAATCAAATACCATTATTGTTGGCGTGATTATTATTCCTAAACGGTTGATCATTTTAGCGTTGTTTTTTAAAAGTGTGGTTGAAAAATACTTTTTAGGACTTTTGAAAATTACTTTTAGATTATTTGGTAATGTATTTTAAGCTGAGCAGCTGCTTTAGCTTTATATAGTATTGGAGGTAGGTGGCGCCAACTAATGTTTCTAAAATATGAAAAGCCAATATGGGTAAAGACCAAAGAAATGTGGTTGAAGAGGTCAAAAGATGCCCAATTTTGTGGGATGCCCTGCGTGTATATAGACCGTTGAGTTGTGCGATATTGTCGCTCCTTTTCCCTTTGATTTCCTTTTATCAAACTAAGAAAACAAACCAATTTATCTTTATCATCTCCTTCATATACAATAAGTCTTCTTTATATCAATTCATTTCGTCCATAAAACTTGGTTTCATTCTCAAGGCGGTACGCGGTCTTTCTCCCCTTCTTTTCAAGGTGGTGCTCGTGCCAAGGTATATGTACATGCATAAGTGATTAACAAAAAAATAAATAAAGGAAGTGATTTATATTTGATAATGCAGGTTTGTATTGCAATTTTGATAATCAGAGAAACGAAATCAATAATTTATGGCGACCACAAAGAGAGAAGTTGGCACTTCGGTGAAAGAGAAGGGCTCTTCCCCTGCGAATTTGAAGCCTTCTCCAAGAAAACCTTCCTCTTCGGCTTTAGGTTCAAGTGAAAACAAGTACCAAACTATCTCAAGCCCACGAAGACCTCACGCATTGATGTTGCTCTTAAGACTTTAAAGAAACCTGCGACCGAAGACGCCACCCAAAATCCCACTGTTCTCAGGAGAAGATCCTTTGATAGGCCTCCATCGGCTGCTCGAGCTAACAAGGCACTTGTCTCTCCCGTTCGACCTAAAACGGCAGCAGGAGCAACATCCTCGTCTTCTTCTGTTACTTCAAAAGCGGCTGCTGCACCCAAGGCACCCTTGGAAAAGGTTGCCAAAAAGCCAAATGCTCCGGCGAGACCACAGACACAGACGTCATTTTCGTCTAAGAGCGCACAAATCTCCCTCTACCAATAGTACTAGGACTAGGAAGGGATCTTTGACTCCTCCTTCGGCTTCAAGGAAACCTCCGAGCAGTCCTGATAGAAGGGAAGCATTGTCTGTTGAAACCGAGCATAAAAATAAGGAAAATTTGGATCATCAAGTTGAGCCTGAGGCTGAAGAGGTTGTGAAAGATGATCAGGGCCAAGTGGATGATACCAAAACACCAAAAGCAGATCAAGGTGAACTGGATGATACCGAAACACCAAGAGCTGAACAAGGTGAAATGGATGATAACGAACCACCAAAAGCTGAAAAAAGTGGCAACACCAAAGATGAGGCCGTGGAGGTTGACGAAGATACTACTCAGGTCACAAGTGTGGTTGATAAAGGAGGAAATATACTGCTGATATTTCTAATCCAGTTTCAGAACAACAAAATAAAACTGATATTTCCAGTCCAGTTCGGAGCATCATACCGATATTTCTAGTGCAGTTTCGGAACAACAGAATGATATTTCTAGTTCAGTTTCGGAACAACAGAATGATATTTTTAGTGCAGTTTCCGAACAACAAAATGAACATGAGCCTCGGCCTCAGCCTCAGACTGAAAAAGTGGAAGATGGGGTTGAGCAAGTAAAATCAGATCACATTGCTCAACCTGATGATGGAGATAAGGAGAGTCAAAGCCAAGAGGAGATCATTGATGATGATAATCCTCAGCAGGAAAAGACTCATAAGGATCAGGAAGAGAACCCTGAAATTGGACATGGAGGAGAAGAACATGCAACTGAAGAGGTGGCTGCAACTAAAGAAGAAAAAGAAGAAAAGCAACCTGAAAAAAGGCAGAAAAAGGATAATGAAGGAAGTGTGCAACAGGGACTTGAATCCAGTAACGAAGAAACAGTTCAAGAATTAGACGCAGAGACAGAGGTAGAGGAAGAGGCAAAAACAGAGGTAGAGGAAGAGGCAGAAACAGTGGCAAAGGCAGAGCCAGAGGCAGAAATAGAGGTAAAGGCAGGGGCAGAGCCAAAGGCAGGACCTGAGGCAGAAACAGAGGAAAATGTAAAGGTAAAGTCAGAGGCAGAAGGGGAGGAAAAGGTAGAGGCAAAGGAAGAGGTAAACGTAGAGGTAAAGACAAAGACAGAGCCAGAGCCAGAGACTACAAAAGTCATCAGCAAGAGCCAAGTACAAGGAAAGGAGCCTGCAAAACCATACAATAATTTGATCAAGGAGACAGCCAGTAAACTAGTACAAGAGAGGAACAGGTGTTAGCACTTGTTGGGGCATTTCAGACTGTCATAGATAAAGAATCCCTTCGCACCAAATGAACATGGTTCTCTTCCAAAACCGGCAGTGATATAAATGATCTAACGATGTCCCGAGATTCACACTCAGTTGCGATCAACACTTTGTATGCCACAGCTCATAGATTTCTCATCACCATCTACACCGCATGGAGACATGCCATTGTTTATTTTATTTAAAATTTTATTCTTTCTTCTAACTTTGCCCTGATTCTTTGTATACAACTCAATGTGGTAAAATGGTAATAACAAGTTAAACAACCCAAACTTGCTAAAGCTTATCCGCCGTGGGAAACAAATCAGCAACAAATAAACACGATAAAGTTTTATTTACTTGCATTATGGTGATCTCGGCTTCTGATATTTGCTGAAATAATATTGTGATTCCCTCCATCGGCAAACAAAAGCACGCATCATGGAGAGATAAAGGTGAGGCTTGGGCCTCAAGCCCACATTTGCATCAGCCCGCTTTAAAATTTCTCCAAATATGCAAAGGGCAGCTAGGAATGTGCAAACTTTTGGTTCATATATTATGTGCATGGCTCCGAGTGTGACCTTAGCAAAAGTTCTAGTAAAAACATTAGCATACAGATATTTAAAAATTTACCTTGGAGTTACACCCAAGGATAAACTTAATGCATGTTCCAAGCAAATGTAATCAGCATGATGAATTCCAACACCAAAGGTTTTGAAGCCATGCTGCCATTGATTTCAGGAGCTACAAGCTCAGTCTGCCAGCACATGTGCAGCTCCATCAGAAATTATCGAAGTTGCCATTTATTGAATGACATCTGAATCTGACAGGCGTGCATTATTCAATGCCGCAGGGTGCAGCCAAGCTAGATGGTACTACAAGAAATAGACTTCATTACCTACAGTTCTGTATTTGACCAGAAAAATGGAAATATGGTAAAACTGAAAATGTCAAGTTACCTAGATAAAAACATCCAGCCATGTGGTTACTGGTCAGTCAATATCTTCCAGCTGGAGATACAGACACCGAGACACACTTTACAGAGAGCTCCAATCCCATCTCTTGTCTATAAAAAGTTGCATTGTCTAAACAATATTTCAATTCAATGCAGTAAAGAAAACAGAAGACGATGTCTAACAATACCGCAAGAATCACCTCTCGAAGAACGCAGACAATGCATAGAATATGTTGGGTATTTGTGTGCGAAAAAGATGAGAGGGTCAAATATGGGCAGCTGCGACCAGGGGCCTGTCCCTACTGTGAAGGCAAGCTGCAAGCTATGAATATAAAGACTAGCTGGAAGTTGTTCTTTTTGCCACTATTTTTCTGGAAGAAGAGAAGATCTATTGCAGCACCTGCGCAAAGTAGATGTCTGATGCCTGCCGATAAGCTTCATTTCGTTGTAGTTGCCGAGTGTTAAGCATAAATAAGCTTATTATAATCGTAATTTGTAAGATTAGTGTGGAATTTTTATGTTATTTGCTTGATCTATATGTATTTTGGTTCAAAATCGGAAGACCATTTATGTTTGTATTAGCATTTCTGTCATCAAAGC